CTACGATGCCACTGAGTCTGGTTTTCTATTTCTTCATTTCAAAATTTTTGATTACTGATTTAATCTTTTTTTCTTTTTAATTCTTTTGTTCTTAGCAACTACCAGGCATCTTTTTAAATTATTATTTATTTATCCTTATTTATTACTATTATAATTTTTTAATAGTTTGCTATAGGGCACATGTGCTCCTCAGAGAGAGACAAAGAGTGAGAGAAGGAAAGTAAGAAAGCAAGCCACCAATCCAGGACTTTAACTGCAGTTGGCCATGTAGGAATCCAACACCCTAGCCACCACACATGCTGGCCTCCCCCAGGCATCTTAGGTACACTGGTTCCCTCAATATTCTGGGTGAGGCAGGATAAGTAGGTCTCTCAGAATGCACTGGATATCTACTTCAGCCACCTCTTCCCCCAGAACACATGGAGAGTTCTGGGCTGTGAAGTGCTAGCTTTTGGAGGGGGCTGATGTATGTAAAGTGAAACCACTCTCATTACCCATTTTAAAGCGATTGTTTCTGGTCATGTGTCCTGTTGTGCAGCTGCTTTGTAATTGGGCTCTGGTATTCTAGAATTAGAAAGTTCCGAAAATTACTTTGTAAAATATGTGAATCTGTGGGCCAGATAGTGGCATGGTGGCTGGCTGGATCCCACATGACTGGTTCATATGCCAGTCTTAAATCAGCATTTCTGTAGGCAAATAAGGGCTGGGAGAATTGAGGCTGGTACTTTGTATTCTGTCATCTTGCTGATGTAACTTTCAGATTCTCTTTTTCATAAAACTTATTTTTATTCAAAGTAGAGAGCACACATGTGCACACAAGAGAAAGAGAGAGAGAGAGAGAAGCACTCCTAGACAGGATCACATCATGCTACAATCCGCCTTCTCCAGCCCTCCAGCCTGTCAGCGTCTTGGGCATGTGGGCATGTGCTTGGCATGTTTTTAGGCCAATCCAGAGATCAGAACCACTTAGGCTGTGTGGCTTCTGGTACAGCCGTTCAGTTTGCTACTGACCACACCACCAGGCTGGACCTACGATTCCCTCTTGAGTTGCCCCACTCATATGACACCAAAACATGTCAGGTGGTGCTTTATAAATATCCAAGAGTAATGCATTCTTCCAAAAGTGTACAGAATTTTCACTTGAGGTGGCCCCCAAATCTCGTGACAGTCATCTTTTGTTGATGTGTTAATTTATGATTTTTATATTAAGAATTTTTATTCTGCCCACAGCTGTGATTTATTTACATTGGATAAGGGACTGAGAGTCTCAGATCAATTACTGTTTTTTAGTTACCAGGATTACTTAGGAACTTCATCACTAACTTGCTGCAGGAGAGGTAAGTAAGCCCCAAACGGTAAATGTTGTGATCAGCTCACTTTGACTCAAGATGTTTCCCTGAGGATTAAGGGATTTTGAATTTAAAGAAAATTCCTTAGGGCATTTAACTATACTAATACGGCAAAGAAATGCCTTTTTTTTTTGTTTTTTAAGACATGAAGTTTTAGATATTTATTCTTATTGCAAAAGCAGACACCACACTAAAGAACATGAGCCTTAGAGTTAAACAGACTTGGGACCAGCAGATACTATAATGATTACGTTTACTGGACTCCTAAGTACTCAACCACTGTTCGAGTCCCAGACCTGGCAGCTTAACATTCACACCAAGATCCTGAAAGAAGAATGGAGGAGAAGAGATTTTGTTGTGACCATCTCCTCTAGGGGATGGTTCCTCACTTTCTGTCTCTCTGTCTCTCCAGTGAGCACATGCGACCTATACCAAAAATCTCTTTCTCTCTAAAAAAGAGTTAAACAGAATAAAATTTTATCTTAGTCCAGCAAACATGTGAGTCACTTCTCAGAATTCTAACCATCAGTGAATGAAATGAACTTAATGAATTTAACTGAACTCTTGGGAACATTTTTCATTTCATTTTAAAAATGGCAATGTATATATCTGGGCACAGAAAATGAAGGAAATGCAGAAAAGTAGAGTGGTGAAAAGAAAATTCTGCCCATTGTGGCACTGAAATTGATCTGTGTTAACTATCGGTAGTATTTCCTTTCAGTCTATGAGGAATTTTAAGTGCAAGTTAGCCATGAATAGATGAAGAAGTTTTGAAAATCCCAGAGGGTTTCAAGTGCTTGATAAAAGCAGATACTGCTACTTGAATCTTACCTTCATCAGGATCTCGATACCATGTGCATGAACATAAATCATTTGAAATTAGCATCTTATTTTATAGGTTGGAAACTTGTGTTAAAGAAATGTTTTCCAAATGCTCTGGGGGTGTGTCTGATGGTCTGCTCTATCTCAGATCAACAGTGAGAGTGGCTAAATATGTGGAAAACAGAGGGAGCTATTGGGGAGCTCAGACAGTAACTGATAGTGTGGGTTCTTCCTCACAACGATGAATTATAAACCCAACTGTTTAAGTGTGTGCATGTATTTGGTTGGGTTTGATTTAATAACACGGATTCATGGTGGGACATAAGTCCCAGATTAAACCCAAAACAAATCTCAAGGCCCCTAAATTGAACTTTTGTTTGTTTTTACTATAGGGTACATACACTCACCAGAAAGAGACAGAGAGAGAGAAGGAAACTGTGAAATCACTTCCCAGAGGGATGCCACACCACAGTTCCTTCTCCTCCATTTTCCTCTCAAGATTTTGGACTATGCGATATCTCAGTAGGAGGGTTACCACTAAGGATCTAACTGTGGAGCTGTTGGGGCAGGCCCAAGGAAATAAGGGCTGCTGTGTACTGAGGGCTGTGGGAGAGACACACAGCTCTGGGTTTGGGTGTTTCCACACTCACCATTACCTGCAGTGAGAGGAGACAGAGTGCGATAAACCTGACATTGTTAAAGAGGTAGTATGATTCACTTGGCAAGAAAAGGGGATGTTTGACATTTCATGCTATGCAGTGACCTAGTCAGAAATGGGTGTTTCATGAGATTGTTTGTGTTCAGTGAGACAAAAACGTGGTTGTGACCATCAGGACAGCTTGTAAAATAATTGGGCTTGAGTCCTATCATTGAACATCGGTGCAGTTCTGGATATCAGGAACTCTCTTGTCTCCCCTCCCCAGGTGCATGCATGCAGGAGGGAGAAGCAGAGAGAGATAAAGAAAGCACCTCCAATGGAACTTGCATGTCACTGTCATTTTTCCCTCCATTTCTCCATCTTTTTAGGATCCCAGGCATGTGCACATGTGCCTGGTATGTTTTTCAAGCTGCTGGAGCCAGGATTTGAACCTTGGCTATAGGATCTGGGTCTTTTTGTGCAGCACTTAACCACTGTGCTGTGGGGCCAGTCCTTCTTATTTTCTTGTATGTTATGATAGTCCGTACAGTGGCAATGTTATGTTCACTACTTTGGTTTAACTCTTGCTTACATTCTTAAGGTTGTTGAACACCTCACCCCTCTTCTACATAGATCAGTCCTTCTTACCATCTGAGATACTTGGCAATGGTGACATGGCCGTACTTCTCTTTCTAGCTTTCCATCCTAATGGCCCTCCACATCCTGCCCCTTCCTGGCTACAAGGGGCACACTGCTTTGTTGCCTTTTCTGACTAATAAAGCCTCTGCATATAAAAGTTAATGAAAATACCTGTACACACAGTTGCAGAAAATTATAGCAACTTGAAAAGTTGATTTCTTGGGGCCAGTGGGTGGCATGGTGGTTAAGGCGACAAGATCCCACATGGCTGCCTGTGCAGCTCAAGTCCTAGACCTGGTGGCTTAAAAAACATGCTAGGAGTGTGTGCATGAGTGCCCAAAATCCCAAGAGGGAGAATGGAGGGGAAGGGATTACAGCATGACCATCTCCCATGGGTATTGCTTTCTCCTTTCTTCTTCCTCTGTCAAGTGCACTCAAATTAAGAAAAAAAGGAGAGAGCGAGAGAGAAAGGACTATTAATTTATGATATGATAAAGTGCTAGATAACCTTTGTTTGGGCCAGAATATTTTCCTTCAAATAGGCAAGCTGCACAGAAAGCAAATACAGGTACAAAGGTCCTTGGTGAATCTAAAGTCAGAATGAAGGACATTATAACACAAACAAGCTATTTAATGGAATGAGGTAAAGATAGACACAACCCGAGGCTGCAGGCACCACAGCAGGCATATACCTGACTTGCATATAGGATAGAATTTTCTCTAGAAATAGTACATGAAAGCCTTATAAAAATGTTTATTTCTTTTTTCTATGAGTGAGAGAAGTAGAGACAGCGTCCCTGACAGGGTCTTGGTATCGTGCCCCACACCGGCCTCAGCCAGCCCCAGGTAATGGGCTCATACATGCCTGGTATAATCAATAAGTCCCTGGAAGTGAACCTAGAACCTTCCCACATGGATCAGCCTCACAGAACTTTTATGACTGTGCTGCCATAGGCCTTATAAATACTAATTTTTTAATTCATCAATATCTTAAACTTGTTTCAATACCATATTGGCTACAAAATTAAAATTATTACCTCTTAACACAGTCAAGATCACCAAAAGAAGATAGCTCAGGGCTGGTGAGCTTCCTAGTTTCCATCCCACCAATCTGCATGTGATGAAAATGCTATTTTTATAAGACTGATTCTATTTGAGAGCCACAAGTGCCCTGTACAGTAAACAGAACAGAAATTCCTCCTATCATTTTACAGATGAGCAAATGGATGTTTGGGGCAGTAATTTAACTAAGTCTATAGACACTTAGTTACTAAATAAATACTAGACACTAACTTTTGGGACCCAGGATCTGGAGTTTTCTGCGATCCTACATTACTGTATGCAAAACATTTCAAAGGCAAAGAGGACATACATCTTTACTTTTTCTCTTGGCTTCTCTTAGTAAGGTTATAATACTGCGCCATTAATGGTGCATTGTTCTTAGTCATCCTGCCTCATACTTGGAGGCTTTGGTCCCACTTCTGTGCCACTGTTTGCACAGAACAAGGAGCCGTTAGAGCAGCACAGATTCGATGTTCTGGAATTGCTTAATATCAGGTTCCTTTGGAATGTGGTAAAACTAACCTGCTAATTGACTCCTTCAAGACTTCCTTTACCTTTTCATTTCTCAAGCTATAAATGAAGGGATTTAGAAGAGGGGTCACCACTGTAGTGAGGACAGCTGTCACTTTGTCAAAATCCAGCGAATAGCTCTGGTTAGGCCTCACGTACATGAAGATAGAGCTCCCATATGCAATGGAGACCACAGTGATGTGAGAAGCACAGGTAGAGAAGGCCTTCTGACGTCCTTGGGCAGAGGGGATGTGCAGGATGGTGGAAATGATGTAGCTGTAGGACACAGTGGTGAGCACCAGTGAACTCAGGACCACCAGGGAAGACAAGAGGAAGTTTATCAGCTCAATGAAGTGGGTGTCAACACAGGCCACCTGAAGTAAGGGGGCAATGTCACAAAAGAAATGACTAATTTCTCTAGTACAGTATGGTAATCTGGACACTATAATTGTTGGACACAGCACGGACACAAAGGCGCCTACCCAGCAGCCCAGGACGAGCAGGAGGCAGACTCTGCTGTTCATGACAATGGTATAGCGCAGGGGGTTACAGATGGCCACGTAGCGGTCAAAGGACATCACTGCCAAGAGGATAAACTCCACTGTCCCCAGAAAGAAGTAGAAATACGTTTGTGTGATGCAGCCAGCAAAGGATATGGTCTTTCTCTCTTCTAAGAGACAAGCTAGCAACTTTGGAGCAATGGTAGTTGTGAACAAAATGTCCAGAAATGACAGATTACTGAGGAAGAAGTACATTGGGGTTTGAAGACGATTGTCTGTCCATATTAAGGAAATGATAATAATGTTTCCTGCTATTGTGAGCATATAAACCAGCAGGAGAATGGCAAATAGCAAAATCTGAAGCTCTTGGACAACAGGAAAGGAGACCAATGTGAATTCAGTCACTGTGGTCTGGTTTTTCATGACCATTTTCACCTGTGGGGCATGGAAACAGAAGAAATTAGAGTAGTTTAAAATGTCTTTCAAGTTTTTTACGATCTTGCTAAATATTGAGTAGAGAGATGAGTCCAGAGGGCAGGAATCCTAGTGACTCTCTACGTGACCTTGGGCACATGAAAGGGTTTCAGTTAATGAAGTAACAAGAAATAGGTATTGAAAATATGGATGAGTGATCAAGAAATGGGGCATAGTTTACATGTGTAGTTTGTGTTCAGAAGAAACAAAAAAGGAAATGGAAGTGAGATGGAAAGAAAAGCAGAGATTCAAACACCAGAGGGAAACATGGAGACTAGTCAGAGAGCATGGGCAGATCACCTCCATAAGAACTATATAAAGTGACTGTCAGCTTCTTGGCAGCCCTAATGGAAACCAAAAATTATTAAATAATAAGTTCAAAATGTGGTGAGAAAATAATTTCCAACTTGGAATTATAGATCCAGCAAGATGATTTTTCATTGTGAAATAAATATATTATGAATTAAAACTTTAGTTTTATTACCAAAGGACAACTTACAAAGTCATTTCTGGTAATATTTTGTTTCTTTTTTTTTTCTTTTCAGATTTTGCTGTAGGATGTGTGTGCTTACCAACGGGAGAGGAAAAGTGAGAAGTCACAATCCCCTGTGGGATGGCCATGCTGTAGTTTCTTCTCCACTAATCTCTTCTTGGGCACCCATGCACACATGCCTGGTGTGATTTTTTTTTTTTACATTTTTTTTTGAGAGGTTTTTCACTATAGGGCGTGTGCACTTGCCAGACAGACAGAGAGAGACAGAGAGACAGAAAGCGAGAAATCACCCCTCAGAGGGGATGGCCATGCCGCAATCCCTTCCCCTCCATTCTCCTCTTGGGATCTTGGGCACGCGCACACACACGCACCCGCTGTGGGTTTTAAGCCACCGGGTCTGGGATGCGAACCACAGTCAATTATGTGGGAGTCCAGCGACATAGCCATTGTGCTAACTGCTGGTTCCCCCTGGCGTGATTTTTAAGTAGGGCCCCAGACTTCAACCAAGCCTTCAGCCACATGGAATCCAATGCCTTAGCCACTACACCATCTGCTGGACTGATAATATTTCTAAGTAACAAAATTTCCTTTGTTTCAATAAGGAAGACAATAATCCTGAGAAAATTTTATATGTGAAAAGAAGTAAGCAAGTATAATAGTAAACAAGTACATATATATAAATAGACATTCCAAAAAGTACTAACCAAGGAAATTTTGTGAAATCAAGAACTAGCATATAAAAATATTTGAAAAGTATGGTGAGAAAAATTAGAACTAAAGCATTCCTGTGCAATATGGAAAGAGGTTACATATTGTTTTATTTTAGATGTTAAGTTAAATAAGTCTGATAACTACCATAGGTGCACTCATTGAAAGAATAGGAAGAGATTATAATTTTCACAATTGTGGAAAGGGGAAAGTAAAGAAAAATAAGACTCACATGTAACAATTATACAAACAAACAGCAACAACCCAAGTAATCAATTAATTAAAATTATGTGAAAAAAATATAGAAAATTGGGAGAAATAAAAAGTAAGATTTAGAATTCAGCTCAAATATATTAATTTCCACAATAAAGAAAAATGGACTTTTTTTTAGTTAAAAGATATATATTATTATATAAAGAAAATAATTTCAACTGTATGCTAGTTCTGAGAGACACACCAAAAATGTAAGGAAAACAAAGGAAGAAAATAAAAGCGTAAAGGAGGTGTGTTGAACACGTATCAGCATCAAATATAGCTATATTAATAACTGGCTAAATTAGACTTGAAGATGAAGAGCATCGTTATGGATTAACAAGGTGACTCTATGATAAAGATAAATTTATAGTTCGCTGTGAACATATAAGAACTCTAGACATGCATATACCAAATAAACAACATATATAAGGGTAAAATTTATAGAGCTATTAAGAGAAAGGCATCATAACAGTGAAACATTTAAATAATGCTCTCAAAAATGATGATATGAATGTCATCATGTCAGATGATATGAATACCATTCATATCAGATGATATGAATAGCACAGTGAAGAAACTTGAAAATAACCAGTAGATGAAATTATGCACCCAAATATCCTTGTCAAAAGTGTATGAAACATTAAAAACATTAACAGATACTGTAAAGCACATCTTGAAATCACAAAGAATAACACTAATAGCTTTCAGAGAGCATGTTCTCAGAAATCAACAGAAGCAATTAGTTAATAATACAGTAATATGTTCAAGATATATATATTTTTGGAAATTAAATAATACCCTTCCAAATAACTCATGGGGAAAACAGAAATCACAGTAGGACTGAAAAGTAGAAACATATATGACATATCAACATCTGAGAGATATATTTAAGCGATTATGAGTGACTTTTTTTTTTTTTTTGAGAGAGAGAATTTTTGCTGTAGGGTGTATGCACTTGCCAGAAACATAGAGAGAAAAAATGAGAAATCACTCTCCAGGGAAGATGGCCATGCTGCAATCCCTTCTCCATTCTCCTCTCATGATTTTGGGCCAGCACACACATTTGCTGGGTATGAGTTTTAAGCTGCTGGGCCCGGGACTCAAACCACAGTCAACTCTGTGGACCACGTCCAGCAACATAACTATTATACCATCTGCTGGTCCCTCTATGAGTAACTTTTATAGACTTAAATGGTCACTTATAAAGGAAGAAAAGTTGGTAATAATAAAGGTTGAAGGAAAGCTAAAACAATAGAATATGTAGAAAAAGAAAGCAGATGAAATTAAATCAGAAATCAGTAAAATGAAAAAGAGAAGATCTGCTTAATAAAGTCAAAATTGGTTCTTTGAATAGGCAAATTCCTGGTGGAACTCATCAACAGACAGAAGACAAAACAGTGCTATACTATGGGTGAATAAAGAGGATAAAGTATACATGAAACAGTTAGTAAAACTATGTCTCTACGAATATGCATCTCATTCGAAAACTGAGAAAAATTGTACAAATTACATTTTTATCACAATTGACTAAAGGGAAAATAAATAGGCCTCAACAGTCATAAAACTATTAAAGGGTGAGGCTTGCAGGTGGTATGGTGGTTAAGGTATTGGACTCCCACATTGTCAACCACAGTTTTAGTCCCAGACCCAGTGGCTTGAGAATCATGCCAAATTAGTGTGTGTGTGTGTGTGTGTGTGTGTGTGTCCAAAATCCCAGCAGAAGACTGGAGAAGAAGGGATTGTGGAGTGGCCATCCCCCTGGGTGTGCTTTCTCACTTTCCCTGTCTCTGTCTATAGACACCCTATTGCAAAAACCTTAAAAAAATATTAAAAAGATTGAAGAAGTAAATAACTTTTTATAAAGAGAACACAAGGGTCACATGACTTCTCAGGTACACTACTAAACTTTAATGAAACAAGTCATTGCAGTTATGCAAACTGAGAAATCTGAAGAAAGGACTTTTTAACTCATTGTATAAAAATTAGTAATAACACAGGGAGTACAATGAGACAAATACAGGAAAAGAAAGAAAAAATTAAGGTCCATTTTCATATATGCAAATATCCTACATAAGAATTGGCTAACCCAAATAATGGACTCTTTGGATTTATCCCAGGAATGTAAAGTGGTTCAACACCAAAACCCATATAAATACTTTCTACATTGACAGATTCAAGAACAAACCACATTATCTTCTCATTGGGCAGAAAAATCATTTAGAATAAATATATATAATTATATAGTATTCTATTATTTATAATACATATGACATATAATTATCAAAAGAACTATCAAAGCTATTATTCCAATTGAAGATCTAGTAGAAGTATTGAAAATCAATAAATAAGGCTGTCCACATTCATAATTTTAATCAATAATGTATTGAAGATGGGATTTACACTATCACATATCAGTAATAAAGTGATTATAATTAAGAATGTGTCATATTTGTGCAAGGGTAGATAAGTTAAACCAGAAACTAGAAAGCCCATAAAGTCATAGAATAGACCCATGAGATATAAGGGACATGAAATATAATCAATATAAAGGGCATGCCAATGGAGAAAGTCCTTGAAGACTACATACAAAGGGAACCAGCAGTTAGCATAATGGCTATGTCGCTGGACTCCCACATAGTCGACCGCAGTTCGCGTCCTAAACCCGGTGGCTTAAAACTCATGCCGGGCATGTGTGCGTGCGTGCCCAAGATCCCAAGAGGAGAATGGAGGAGAAGGGATTGCGGTGTGACCATCCCCCCTGGGGGCTAATTTCTCGCTTTCTGTCTCTATGTCTCTTTCTGTCTGTCTGGCGAGCACACGCGCCCTAAAGTGAAAACCTCTCCAGAAAAAAATAAATAAATAAATAAAAATGACTACATACGTGGACTCTTCAAAAAGTTCATGGAAAATAGAATTATAAAAAAATTGTGAGTGAATTTAAAAGATTTTGGTTACCAAAATGAACTTTAATTTTTTTCTACGATCATTTTGAAGCCCCTTCATCCAATTAGAAGACAGCTGAAAGTAAGATGTATGTTGTTTTTAATATGTGTATTTATGATATAAACAATCTATAAATAGGGAATGGTAAGTACAAAAGTTTTCCTGGTTATGGGGGAGCAAGGGGCTGGGCTGGAAGAAAAGCACATAGGGAGCTGTAATTTACTGATAATTTTCTCATTCTTCTGGGGTAGTTGAAGAACAATAGATGCTTATTTATTAAAATCAAACACTAAAACAGTAAAATAAAATAAATGAGCCAAAGGTCACAATACCTTATGAATCAAAGGTTGAAAGCTTCATTCCAATCCTAGCCAAAGTCAGCAGGTGATATTTTGGTGATAGTTTAAGCCATCCCCCCTGGGGGGTGATTTCTCGCTTTCTGTCTCTATGTCTCTCTCTGTCTGTCTGGCGAGCGCACGCGCCTTACAGTGAAAATCTCTCCAAAGAAAAAAAAAAAAGAATGGGAAAATATATTCAATGTGTTAAGGGA